TACACGAAAAGACAATGCCCTTTCTGTTGGTCAGAATCTGATCCCCACACCCGTGCCAGAGAGCAAAGAAGCGGGACGTACATGGCAGCTCCATGCCACTGCCCACAACCTCTCTGAAATGAGGATCCTGTTCAGACAGATACAGAAACCATCCAAGCTTTGCCAGAACAAGTCCTAACACCCAGGAGGATTGTTCCCAGTTAAATCAGAACTAAGCTCTACCAAACCCAAGGCCCGGCTGGACACCATCTGGTACCGTATATTTTCTCCAGCCTCTCAGCAAACACCACGAAAAGCCTAGTTTTGCTCCTAAATAGATCAGATGTCTTGCTTTTTATGTAGCAAATACAGATTCATTTCAAGGAAGGCAAAACACTGCCTAGAGATAAAACAAGATGTAAAACAACTTGATGTGAGAGTCAGTGACTAACTAGGAGGAAATCTTTTAAGATGTTCGAAGTGATTATCACCTTAAACATTACATAGAATGAATCATTCTGAAAGCCTGAGCATCTCTTGCTCTCTTAGCTGATATTATGCTACCAGAAAATCTGCTTCCTACAGGCAGATGACAAAGTAGAACCAGCCACAGAGCTGAATACAGATTCCATCCCAAACTGAAACAAGGGGAAAGGTTCATCATTGTTACATGGTAGGCAGATGCTGTCAAAACAAGCTTTCAAATCATCTTGTACAAGGATATTTTTTTCAGAGAAGGCTGTGCAGATCTAGTAGAGAATCTTACAATAGACTTTTACAGTGGTTATCGCTTATAGGCATGGTCACATCATACAAAAGCAAAAAAATTAGCCCATGAGAAACAGAGATTTGGAGTCTTACATCAGGAACACACATGTACAGGGAGAGATCATTTTCTGGGAGGGGGGGAGGGGAACCAGAACAAGTAAAACCACACACAAAAAAATTCAGGGGTTTCTTTGTTTGTTTTAAAGGGAGGGTGAGTTTTATATGCCAGGAGGCAAAAAAACCCCCACACTAAGGGTTCAGATGCAAGAAGAAGTCTCTAAAGATAACACAATATATAACTCTCTGTATATTTTCTATAAAGGCGCTATGGCAGAACACCTTACATTTCTTGCATAGGTAAGACTATGTACATGGGTAATCATACACATGGTACATTATCATTTGCCTGTACCCAGGCAAACAGAAACCAATCCTAAATCAATCCCCATCAGCAAATTCTCCAGAGCATGGAATGCTGGTATCACTGGGTTCTTTATCACAGCTAATGGTGCTAAAAGAAGGAAATATGTTTTATCCTCTCTGTCCCCTTTACTTTTGGCCTAGTGAAACAACAACAAGGATACGATCTTCACCCCTATAGAATCCAGACTTGCCTGTGAACAATCATTCCAAGAAATGATATGTTCCAGTGATCTCAAAGTGAAAGAGGTATAACATTTAAAATCCTCTTTGAAGATGCAGCACATCACTTCAGATGTCATATTTAAGAACTGCTCAGACACCATTGACACAATAAACATTAAGGCTCAAAAACACAAAACCAAAGACAGGTCAATATAAGATACTTTAGGTATTTTTAATATAGAACATCAGGGAAGGACAGAATGCATCCATGAACATAGCAACCATGGTGAGTATATTATTCCTTTCAAACACACTGTGAAGCCGAACATATTAAAGAGCAATCTGCCACCTCATTTTTAGCTTTTGCCACTCGTTATTTGAATTTATCTTTAGTTAGCGAGTAAACCATCATCTCTAGGTAACAGCACATACTAATAAGGTAGCAACAGTAACTCTGTAGCTTTCAAGCAGACATCAATAGGATCTTCCTCTGCCTTCCAGTATGCTGAGGTACATCATCACTGTCACCTTTCCAACCCTGTGCTTGTGAGGACAACTGAAGCTCCGGAAATGGGTTACAATTGCATCAGGCCCTGCATCAGTGGGTTACAATTGGTGAGGCCAAACCTCTATCACTGCTTCCGTACATCCATCATGTTATTCTTCTGTATTTGAAGCACTGTGCCCCTAAAACATCGGAATGCCCTATTTGAACTGATTAGGATTAGATCCTGTGAGACCAGGGAAGCTGTGAGGACGTGCAGGAAAGGTAAAAGAGAAAGTCTAAGCCTAACAGAAAGCAATATGTAAGGATTCTGTCACAGTAAAATCAATCAGTTATTACATACGTGTACTTTTGAGTTCAGTTTCTCAGCTGAATGCATCACTTTAAACGCACCACTTCTGTGATGTCAGTCACCGCAGTGAAACAGAAAAAATTACTTTCCTAGGTTTCAGTTTGCACTTTCTGAGTCACAGAAAAGATCCTTTGAGTTTACCTGGGACAGATCGTCTGAGAGAGACGTCACTCTGCAGCTTGGTTGGGCTGCTTGCAGAACAGGATTTGGTTGCGGTTCCAGTTCGGCCATAAGCATTGGACCACAACTTGTATCTGCATCTCCAAGAATTTCTGCTGGGAGAGAAAAATAAAGAGAAAAAGTAGTTCTTGATGAGCTGGAGCAATAATCTCCCAGTCAACTCGTGTAGCAGGATGTGCAGTTTTTCAAGATTCAACAATGGGACGTGCAATGTTAAAGAGAATTATTTCCTCCTTACATGGCTCATTGTATATCCCGTAATTTGTTCTCGTGGGGAAAAAAGAAATAAGAAATACATGTCTATGAAAATTGAAAAAAGTAAATCAGTTTTATCATCCGTAGATTTCTAACGTGGCAAGCATTTATGATAGCTTCAGAGCTGTATAGTTCATCATACCATTATATGCTTAATGAGCTTTATCGCACGTATTGGAAAGAGATTGGAAAAGCTTCTTCATGAAAGTGTTTCACTGTTGCGTGAATGAAAAGAAACCTGTATATAGTCTTTTTAAAAAGGATAATTTCCTATATAATTCAGCATTTATCATGCTTTTGCAGCCTGCAAGTGTGTAAAGTATCTTTAGGAAAAATGTACTGACAGCTCAGGAACTAAGTTTAGCCTTCTGCTATCATACAGAGCCAAAGAATGAATTTTAAGCCTAATTAACTATAATTATTCCTTAATTAACTGTAATTCTTGTTCACTTTAAGACAACATGTGCCACATTTCATTTGCGCGTTGGTTTTTATATCCATGACTTTAAGCACTTTAAAAACTCTTTAAAAGTGAAAGACTGATCATCAAGATGCTGTTATATACCTACATAAGCAATACCTTCTCCATCCTACAAACAGCCATCATGTTTTCACAATACAAATAAAAACTGGTCACAAAACTGAAGATACCCACAGACACACAATCCCCAAAATTCTTACAGATATATATGTGAGTAACTGATTCTGAAAGAAAAACTGTGTATTCATGGCAGGTTATATGTACAGAGATATACACCCTGAAATATATGAACTTTTACACCCATTGTTGTAATAATTATTTAATTTTATCCCTAAAAATAATTCTGAAATAAAATTCTGGAGCTGCATTGTAATTGTCGGGGCTCTCAGGAAACAGCACTTTGTCCTGACTTGCAATAGACTGAAGGACATACAATCTCACATACCCAGTGGACACATAACAAAAGATTTAGAAGAAAAGTGGAAACAATCACAGATCATTCCTTCTTCCCTTCCACCTGCCTCCAAGAACAGATTGTTTCCTATTCAGTGTTGACTTCGCTATCAAAAGGACTTGGAAACAAGATTTTGTGTTCCTCCCTGATATGAAAACACACTTGTCTTGAAAGCAAATCCTAGCTTTTATACAATGTTGTTTCCCTGATAATGCCAATGAACACGGTGCTGTGTATTCAGAGGTGGGGAGGGAGGGAAGCTACGTTAAAAATCACCAGAATGCAACAGAATTCAGTCTGGGATTATCACAGATTATGTAAAAGCACAGGGCATTTCACTATGGCAGTTAGTCCAGGACACTTGCCTCCTCTAAAAGAAAAATACTACAACAGAAACAATACTACAAGATTTAGAGAGATGAGCATTAAAAAATACTAGAGAAACACACTGCTTCTTGATTATCATCACACGCAGGAGCTGGTTTTGAAAAGTGTTATATATTTGCAGGATAGACAAAGGGCATGCTAAATTAAATTAAATAAATTTTAAAAATAGATGTAGAGGAGATACAAACATGTTATGCCAGATACAGCTATGGACATTCTGGATAAGATGGAAATATCCCTAGTAGACAGGTTCTCCCACTAACGTGGATCTTCTACCTCTCTATATAGTCCTGAGCACTGTTAGAGACTTACCGCAGATTGATCTAGATCACGAATTTATTCCTACGTCCCAGTCTTCTTAAAGCTGACTGTCCTCTAACAACAGTGTTACACAAGTGACTTGGAAAAATGTCTTACACCAGGGAGCCTAATGCAACCAATCTCCAAACAACATCCAACAAACCACTTTCAAATAAAAATTTGATAATATATAATGTACTAGAATGTATTCTCAAGGCTGGCAGTGGTGTAGCTGGTCCAAAACATTAGGTAACGACTAGCTTAAAAAGCCTACCCTCTGTGTAACTGGTTCAAATGTAAATCAGTTCAAAACTAAGCAAACGCTTTTATCTGTCTGAGATTATTTTTGTCACATGTTGAACACATTCAGTTTCAATCCACTTCCTACTGGTCAAGGGTGGATAATATGAGATATGCTTCTGTCAAATTTACAGATGTGAAAATTAAAAGGACAGAAAACCAGCTGTTTAATCACTTTAGTTTACACAACTTTTGATGAATCAGTGCAACCACATTTGTGTTGTAACAGCTTAATAATTATTTTGGTTTAGTTTAATCATATTTAAAACCACAGTCAACAAAACAAAGAGTTCCTACATGCTTGCAGCAGTTTAATAAAGCAAGTATAGAAATACATTTTCAGATAACAATAGAGAAAGTGGGATAAAAAATAAGGGAGAGAAAGGATGGGCCATTGGTTACAGCAGTAGTTTCAACTGAAAATAAATAAATTTATTTCCTTTCTTTATCACAACAACTTATCCCTGCGCTACTTCGTACAAGCCATTATGTGTGTGCCTCTGCTACCTAGGTGGGGAAAAAGAATTTCCATTTTGTTACAGGAACATATGAAACTACAATATATTACTGATTATGAGACATCACAGTATCACCTTGATGCAGTGATAAAAACAATGAGAAGTGCAGTGCAAGGGGACAAAGAGAAGTAGCTTGAACTGACAGTGTTAATACCTGTCTCCTATGGAAACTGACTTCAAGAATGATCAAGCTACCTGCTTTTGAGAACTGAAATTGACTTAAAAGAATAAAATACATCCTTTATAAGTCAACTTTTATATAGGTAAGTGGGTTACTTGCCATGATTTTTGTTCAAATTGTACAATATTACGGACAAAGAAGAGTAAAGACAAGGCTTGAATTAAATCCAGTTCTCAGAATAGGCACGCTAATAATTTCATTGCAGTAATTGCCTGTAAATTTTTGATTTTGGATTTTGAACATATTCTTTGAAATTATTTCAGATACTGTTACAGAAAATCCTCAGAACCCACATAAATATGACAGAGAAGAAATAGCAACTGTACCTCCAGTTTGGGCAAGCTGCCCTGGCGATAGGGAACGGAACCCCTGGTGTGGTCTGTTTTCAGAAATCCGAGCAGTTGGGTGGTCCATATAAACTGAATGTCCCATTAGGATTCTCTCCGCTGCTCTGGTCAGCCTTGGTCTTTGACCTTCACTGAGCTGCCCAGAACTACCATCAGAATCCTACGTAGAACAGCAACATCAGAACAGCAGGTATAAAAAACCCCAATGCATTTCTTCCAAAACCAGGCATTGTCATCTAATTACATTAACCCTTAAAGCATATATAAACTTAAGTCTATACTATTAGCATTGAATAAAGAAAACTCAGACTGAGGGGATATCATCTAACTGGGCTGGAAAGTAAGATCTACATTTACCAGTACTGGACAGAAAAGAATCACTTAGAGCCAAACAGCATCACTTATTTTGTTAGTAGTATCCCAACATGACCAGAACCTAAATTATATTTTTAGCACATTGTCTACTACTTTTGTCCGTTGTGATGCAGTTATATTTTTCTGTTAGCCTGTTTCTTCTACCAACTAGATATGAATATTTTGAGGTTTTGTTCCAAGATCAGTATCAACAGCATGTGCAAAAGGGCACACAAACATTTGCTTGGTTATTCTTCAAACCTCTCTAAAATACTCATATGGCTGTTAAATGCAGTGAACTTGTACTGCTAAACATAACCACCTACATTGCTGACGTGACAGAAAACTTCCCTGGTGTTCAAAACGACAGGACAGAACTGGTACAGCCACATACACACCTTGAATTTCATGTGTGACACTATGTACAGCTAACTTTTTTATAGCAACGCTTAACCTTACGAGTTTTTAAAAAGTTTTACACAAGAACACAGCCAACAGAAGCGGGATCACTTCTAGCAGGGAATCAAGTGTATGAACCTGCTCTGTAGCCAACAGGAAGGATAAGCTTGAAATACTTTATCTGCTTTTGAGTAAGAAAGTATCACTCCAAAATTACTGTATCGAAAGGAAAAGGACTGTAGGTTACCTCCAAATGGTACGCTCCTTCTTGTGCAGCAACAGGTGCTTGATTTAATTTGTCTAAAAGAGTCAGGACAGGATCCCTGTGATAGCCTTTATCCAGTCTTCTCACCACTTGTCCTTCACTGGGAGGATCATAATCCTAAAATAAAGAAACAAAATGCACATAATACATAAGCCAAAACTATTTTTGGTAGAAACTTGAATCGTTCTTACTTTAGTTCATATTTAATTTTTTTCTTTTATAAAGCAAGTTGTTACAGTTTCCAGATTGAGAACTAGTGTCACAAAAATCTAGACATTTCAGAATAAGCAAACTGATGTGCTGTTTTCTCCCTTTACCCACAGACATGCACAGTCTTTATGTGATACATAAGACTGCGTTACTTAGAGAAGAATAAGGTCCTCTAGGCCTTCAAAGTTCAGGGAACAGTTAAATCCTCACACACACTGGTTTTCAGCCATGATGTGGCTGCAGAGCTGCTCTCACCAGCAAGGACTTAGCTTCCTCAACCACACAGCCTCGTTTGAGGATGAAGGACTATTGGAAATAGCTACGATCCAGCTGACAAAGAGAAGGAAGAACATCTTAGCAAGCAAGCCTTCTAACCTGATGAAGAGAACATTATTTGAGGTTCACCTGATAACAGAGTCTTAAGCCCAGAGTTTAAGAGAGGAAGCGTGGCAGACAGCAGAGGTATCCAAAGAGAACTTTTACAATGTTGATCAAGAGGGAGGGCATTCTCCTCAAGTGCCTATATGCTCAGATGGCAAAGTCTGAACAACAGACAGAAGGATCTGCAAGTTCAGGGCACAGTCTCACAACTATGACATGAATGAATCATGGATATTTGATGGGAAAGCATGCACAAGTGGAGTATGGCCATGTATGGGTAGAAATGTTTAAGGATAGACAGGGAGAAGAAAAGAGGACTCCTACTCTAGGAGATTTAAACTTTGCATTATTGAGGTTGAAGCGACCTCTGGACATTGACTAGTCCAACCTGACTGCAGAAGGCAGCACCTCTTCCAGTGTTTGGCCACCCCCACACTAAAAACATTTCTTACGTTTAAACAGCATTTCCTGAATTTCAGTCTGTGCCCACTGCTGCCCATCTTTTCACCAGGCACCACTCAGAAGAGTCTGGCTCTGTCTTCCTTTCTTCTTTCCACCAGATATTTATACACATTGGTAAGATTCCCCCAGAGCTTTCTCTTTTCCAGGTTAAATGATCCAAGCTCTCCCAGTATGACAGATGCACCAACCCCTTATCATTTTTGTAGTCCTTTGCTGGACTCACTCCAATAAATCCTTATCTTTCCCGTACTGGAGAGCCTGTAGGTGGACACAGTACTCTGAATGCTGTCTCACCAGTACTGAATACACAGGAAGGACCACCTCCCCTGCCCTGCTGGCAATGCTCTTCCCAATGCAGCAAAGGATGACAGTGGCCTTCTTTGCCACAAGAGCCCACTGCTGGCCCACGTTCAACTTGTCCACCAGGATCCCCAGGTTCTTTTCTGCAAAGCTGTGTTCCAGCTGGTCAGCCCCCAGTATGTACAGGTGCATGGAGTCTGTCCTCCTCAGCTGCAGGACATGGCATTTCTCCTTGCTGAACTTAATGAGATTCCTGTCAGCCCATTTCTCTAGCCTGGTGAGGTCCCTCTGAGTGGTGACACAACCCTCTGGTGTATCGACCAGTCCTGTATCATCTGCAAACTTGCTGATGATGCAGGCTGTCCCATCACATAAGTCATTACTGAACAGGTTAAACAGCACTGGTGCCAGCATCGACCCCCCAGCATGCATCACTAGTGACTGGCCTCCAGCAGGACCTTGTGCCACTGACCACAACCCTTTCTGCCCAGTACCTCAGCCAATTTTCAGTCCCAGGTCAAATAATTCCTTGAATTCACAGACCTCCATGAGCCGACTGATTGTCTGAGTGAGGATCAGAGGGGAAAGGAACACTGGGGATGCTGTGGGCAGGGTCTGTTTCAGAGCACCTGACCAACAGAAAGTAAGAGGAGGCTTTGTACAAAACACCGACAGGGGTCTGATGATTGCAGGTCTTCATCCTCATGGCAGATTTCAACTATCTGGACAGAAGAGCTATACAGTATTGTGGAGACACTCCAGGAAGTTTTCAGAAATCCCCCTGGAGCTCCCTTCCAACCAATACTATTACAATTTCACTATCAACTTTTTTATTCTTTCATGAAGAAAACAGTTTGGTTTAAGCACAGCATTACTCTACCTGATACTATCATTTATATGACAGCTATGTCCTACCAAGAGACATTACACTAAGCCAGAGAGGGAAAGTCCAGGCATTTGTGGAAAATAAAAATGTTAAAAGCGAAAGGGAATGGAGAATACCTTGACTTGGGAGGTTTCCAGGACAATGGACTCAAGCAGACGTCAGATAAGAAACTATACTGAAGTTTTAAGCAGCTTTAACTAACTCCAGGCTCAGCTAACCTACGTTAATAATTTAAGCACGGAAGTAATTAAAAGATGTCTCAAAGCTGAAGCAGCTCAGAACATAGCAATGTTCTATTCTGTAAGATGTCTTAAAGTGAAAAATAATAAAAAATGAAAGTGTGTATAGATATCTCTTGCTTACAGAAATCTATAAATCATTCAACTTTTGTTTTAATATAAATTAGGTTGTATAATGTGTTTTTTTTCTTTGGAGCTCTGAAATTCTAATGTTCTTTGTAAGTGTACAGTTTAAAAGTGAAAATGCTTCAAGTACATCCAATTTATCAAGATGCTCAAGGCAGAATACCACACTAACTCTGTTTCCTTGTGAAACATTTCCTTACCATTTCATTGGCATCTCTTAAAGTACTGGTTAAGCTCTCGGTGAGGTTTGGAAGAGACAGTCCTCCTTCTGCTAAGGCTGAAAAATATTTTAAGATGCAAATACTAAAAAACACGCAAGTTATATGAAAGAAGGCCATGCCCACATTCTTTAACAACACAGTGCTTGAGCTGGAAATTCCTACTGCTGGATGTGTATTATAAAGACACATTTTCAGCTTCCAAGAAAATTGCTCTTACACTTTGCTTTCAGTAAAAACTTAGTGCTTAGTACCACATGGTACTTCTGCAAGACAGTCCCAATTATTTTCCAAGTTGATCTTGTAACAAAACAGCAGCTTTCATCTTTTTTCATTAGTAAACAGAAGCATTTTGTTCAGAGACAAGAAAAAGAGCAAGGAGGTCTCTTAAATCCAAAATCAGGAACTGAAAGTTAAGGACCAGGTTAATGCTTGCAGTTTTATCAGAAAATGTGTGACATGTAACTTCAGTAGGCTGCAAGAGAAGTTTATAAAGCAAAAAAAACCCCAACCATTTCCATAAATTTGTCTAGTTAGTTACCTCCTGCAACCAGCATCTGTCCATAGCTGAAGAGTACCTCCCCTTCTGAGATGGGTCTCTCTGCAGTTTCTGTTTCTGTGGGGGTAAGGCTGCTTTCCTGAGTGGACTGGCTAGAACTAACTGTAGGCACAGGCGATGGAACCTGCGGATCGCAAGGAAGCGATTCGATAGGCCTCGCTGACGACTGCCGAGATGGTAAAATCAAGGCCTCTGGTTCCTCATCATTAGCCACTGACATCTCACTATAATGTAAGAATATGCATTATGAATACACCAAAGCTCATTGAGCAACATAGACTAAAGTCTTAAACCAATGCTGAAAAGAAATTAATTTGCAAGTATATTTTTTCAAATGAAAGAGCAGAGCATTTCACAGAATAGTCTGAGAATCAACATGGTTAAACAACATTATTAATGAATTTCTGGTTATAACTAAAAATTATCAAGTGTATTCCCACTGAGGTAACAGAAAAAAAGAAAATGCTAACAATACAATATTGCATTGTCATTACATTTATTACTGGCAGTTGCAACACCACCAGTTTAGTAAGTACAATGTTCAAGAGGACAATGAATAAGGACCAATAAATTCTGAGAAAGGTCCTGATTTCACATTTTTCTCCACAATATAAGTCAAGGAATTAAAAAAAGTATCCTGGCTTATCTCAATGCTTCCTGATATATACATTAATAATTTCTCTACTGACTTGTGGAGGATATATGTAGAAATAAATTCTTTTGTTTAAGAAATCAGAAAACCCTGCAGCTCAACTCACACAGCCTTGAGATGGAATGGCTCTGCAGTTACAGGACTGGGCTTCTCTTCTTCCAGAGGAAGTTCTGCACCGTCCCATGGGTTTGGAAGCTTTGGACTTTCCATTTCTGCAGCTTCAGAGACCCTTTCTGAGGCAGGAGGGCTTGGTGTGGTTGCTCTAGGTGTATTGACAGGGGTAACCACAGGTGTGCCAACACAACTCCTGGCAGCTGGAATCTCAACTCCTGCGTGTGCGAAGCCAAATTTCAGATCAGAAAGGAAAGCAGGAAGTAAATCTCAGACAGAGAGTTTGTCAGATCCACTAAGAATTTGAAGTTTTTGTGATACTTTTTGATATCTATGGAGACAAGACTAGATTAAGACTAGTTTCTTTTAAGTTCAATGTTGGCATCTGAAGGAGCTAGAATAAAACCTCAATTGCACATTTCCTTTAATAAGGGAGACTGCTTTGCATTTTAAAAACTAAGCTGCTTTACTTGGAAATTTGGCTTAATTGCCATTAGGAACGCAGGAAGGAGCAAAAGACAGCTATTTTTCTGATGTGAAAAAGTGTGGAGGGGCTGGGAGGGGTGGAAATCACACAGATCATAGAAATGTGCATGAAGTTTGAAAACAGGACTGTTATAAAATAGGCGATGTTTGCTTTTTATAGCAATTAGCCCACAATTTTTATACTACATGAGTCCCCACTTGAATTATAGCCTCAAGAATATTTATCCTGAGAAATGTTTCTTTGAAGAAGAAAATTAAAGGCATCAGATTAAAGCATATTTGCTACTTCTAAACTTCAATTATTATTTTCACTACCTGTTTTTTTATTTTTTTCACATTTGTGAACATCCCCATTCATTTCTGCAAGAGATGGAGAAGACTCTGGAGTTTTGACTGGAGGCAATTCTTTTTCTGAAGGCGGTGTTTGTGGTGGTGTGGCCTGGGGTGTTGGCAATGGAGTAGGCACAAGAGACTCCTAAGTGAGAAAAAGGATCATAACCACAGTTATTATCTCAATGCAAAATTCTTATCCTTCCAAGAATCCCCAGAGTTAGCTGAGGAAGAGAGAGAAAGGCAGGCTACCACAGAACAGGAAGAGTTGTTGCTTAGATACATGCTTCACGGATCTACCTCCTCCATCTAAACATAAAAATGCAGCAGGCTAAATGGTATGCCTGGACAAAATAAATTAAACCCCAGTAAATTATCATATATGAATTTTAATTTGTTACGAGCTAAATCATTTAAGCATTTACTGAAAACTACTGAACTCAAAACTTAGAAATAATTAATACTCATTTTTACAGATATTAAAGAATGTCTGCAAGGCCATAAGACCAAAAATAAGATTGCTCTCAGCTTCTGTTTCTTCTTATCTAATGAAATTAGTTTCTTCATATTTCATTTCTTCACAAGACATTAGCATAGCTATTTTTGTTGAAAATAACACCAGGCATCTTTTGACAACATGAAATTAAGTACCAACACTTTCCCTTAGAAAGCAGTTTTGTCCTCAGCCTTAAAGTAAATAAACAAATACAGCATGCTGCATGCAGCACAACAGAAATGTTTTTTTTTTCAATTTTTTTTTAAAGTGAAATAGGTTTAATCTTGTTTCTTCTGGGGAATAATAAAGAATAATCAAAAAATGCAAACCACACACATTCACTTCATCAGTCTTTTCCCGTCACCTTTGTCTTGCACACAGTTGCCACAAAGAAATTGTCCCTGAGAACTTCAGTAGGAAAGCTTAAATAAAAGAGACTCTTACCGTCATAACTGTTGCACTTGGAAGAACATTTGTAGCAGGAACTGCTTTCTGAGCCTGCCTGTTACCCAGCATGGTTGCAATTGTCTCACTGAGAGCTTCATTTACGAAATGACTTATCATTTCTGAGTCCACAGGCACACCAGCATTGATAAAGAGCTGAAATCCTCCACCACCTGCAACTTCAACTGAAAATGAAGAAACACAAAGCACACCTCCAGGTCTCACTTCTCCAAATACATGTACTATACTGCAGCCACTCATTTAACCTCCATGAACTTTTAAACGTTCCTTTGCAAAAAGCGGTTCTTTTTTTTTATTTTACAGATGAAGATACAGCAGTATAGAAGCAATTCAGGATCATAAAAGGCAGCAGCAAGGGTCAGTGACATTACAGGAGAAATGCATTTGTCTCTGATGCTTACTACATTTATAGGGGAGGTAATTTTTGACATATCTATTATCAAAAGAAAGGCAAACAAACACTACAGGCTTAGCAAAATGCCAAATCCGAATTAGATGGCAAATAACAGAGGTTGATTTGTACAGTGCTGTGTTTTATGTGTTGTTTTTCTTTCTAGATAATTTGATTTCAATGGCCTTGTAACACTTGCTCTGTCTCAACAGAAGTTAAAGCTTGCACTTTTGCATTTTATAGTTTCACTGGTTCAGCATTATCCACTCTTAGGCTCAGGCAACAGCTACCTACACAGCTTGTTAAAATTAGCCAAAAATTGAGATAATTGATCTGCTGAGAACAATAATTCCTACTTACCAATATCAGAGGTTACAGTCTCACTGTCTTCACTCTCGGAGATGCTAACACTGGGCACTGTTTCCTCCTGTACTGGGTACATCCCACTGACAACTTTTGCCATTATTTCTTGTTCCACCCTAGCAGAATAAAACGCATTTAACTATCAGCAAACACTAAGACACCTAAAAGTAGAGAAAACAGCATTCTTGCCACAAAATGCAAGGCAGCTCAAATGAAAAAGGAGAAGGGAAGGGAGAAGAAGGGGAAGGTATTCTTTTGGAGTCATTCCTTCTTCCATATATACTCTCTTGCTACTTTGTTACATTGCAACTTACCAGTTTATCAACCTGTTCTCTATAGTTTCTCTCCTTTGAATCAGCTCATCCAAAACATCAGAAGACTGCTGAGGAGCAGAAGCCACTGGAGGAAACAAAGGCCCATTGTATTTTGGTGAGGCAACTCTCAACTGTCCATTAAGCTCCAGAAGAGGTTCAAAGAATTCTGGAACTTCATCCTTCTCCTCTTCCTGTTCCTAATAAATAGGTAGCAAATTAAGTTATGGTGCATTTCTGGAAGGCAATGTCATTGAGGTAACTGTCGGATTTTTTCTTTGAGAAACATTTGTAGATGTGTCATGGCACACAAACCACATTTTCCCTTCTTAGTACGTTGCAGTTAATTGACACAATTCTAAACTTAGCAAATCATAAATCTGGAGCAGTATAAGGCTATAGGAACTGCTAAGCAAAACATGATTTGGCTCGAATTTCCTGCCTGTGCTGCCCAGGGCAGGGAGCCAATTGTAATGCTAATACTTGAGAAATTTACTGGTGACATAAGTCAGGATTTTTAATATATACTCCAGAAATGCTCCTCCTTTAAAAAAAAAAAAAAAGGGGGTTAGGAAACTTTCTACAATTACTTGTTAGGTTAGCTTTTTGGTTTGGTTTTTGTTTGTTGGGTTTTGGTTTTTTTGTTTGTTTTTTTTTAGAAATTAAACTGTCTCCTGTCTGAAAAGATACATTCCCAAAAGTTAAGGAGCATGCAGTCAGTTAAAATTCTAATGAACTTGCCAGCACTAAAGACTAGACCTTAATAGTTTACATGTATGTTACATGTATGTTTACACTTTCACTAACTTCAGCAGCTGAAAGTTAAAAGGTATTTCTGGGTAATCAATTCACAGACTGATCATCACAGACACTCTGAATTTGAACTTCATGTGCTATTTCTAAAAGTTCTAGAAGTTATGTAAGTTACTCAATGTGTGCTATAATGTTTGAGAGTTTCCCAAGATGCCACCCTCTGTCTCCCCCCTGAGCACATACACAGGATGAAGTCCCAAAAAGCAGTCACCAGCCCATCATATCGTAATGTAACACTTTAGAAATGCCTCCTGACGGATGAGAACCTTCATCCTTCACTCACAAAATTAAAACCAAATGTCTCTAATAGTAATACGATTCCCTAAGAAGAAAATGTGGCATGCCAGAAAGAGATGAGGAGCTGAGCCCCAAATTACCAGTGAGAAGCACGTGAAGTTGCATTAAAGAGCTCACTGTAAATCTGCATTTACTAAGATTAATCCCCAACACAGTGAAAAGTGAAAAAGTCTTATTTTCCCTTATATAAATTAAATTTACTTTTAACCCATAAAATAAAAAATACACTATATCTTCTCTGTGAATAAAAGAACAAATCACTGAAACTAGAAAGAACAGAGAAGGTGGGGGGGGGGGGGTGAGACAGAAACATTTCCCTGTCTCCTTCCCCAGTCCAGCATTAATACTTCTCTACTACCTTAATATTCGTTAAAAGTGAAAAGTCAGATAGGTCCATGATGGGTGTTACAACAAATAGCCATTGGGGAGTGGGATCCTTCTGGATCTTTACAGAGTAATAATTCTTCAAAGAAAAGTTGTAACTTACAAAGCAGGCAAAACAGGATATGTGTATTTGGGTGACACACAAAGATCTCTAAACCATTTTAGGCATAGAAATAAGACCGCAAAGTTAAACTCAGAATGGCACGGGATGCCTTGCGATCTGATAAGCAGTTTGTTCTGTTAGGATATATGAATTCATAACTATAATTCATTCTGACAGCAAATGTAAAGATGTCTTTGTCCAGTGTTTCATTATGCATTTTCTTCTGACCGCATTACTCCATAAATTTTCTTTGATGTGCCTATTTAATATAATCTTTTCTGAAAGTATGCAAAATACAAACATCTGGATTAAATAAACTGAGTACATACAATAAATCTTACATATATTTAGCAACTTCTGACAAACTTTTGCAGTTCTTCCACATTTGTAAATTATGTGCAAAAATATTTTATATTTAATAGTGCACAAATCCAAAGGAAAATTATATTTATTTTGAGGTGATATATGATCTCTGCTGAAATAAAAAAAATAATACAATAGTCAGTATTTAACTATGTGGACTGAACTTGCACATATATCACCCTGTAGATCAATCCTGAATAATTTGCACTCAATTCTGCATTTTACCTCCCTGGAGACTGTTGAAAATATCTATCATGACTCTCAATCAAAATATAGCATAAATTAGAAAGTCTTACAGATATGATTGGAATATTAATCACTGTACTTTATTACAAAGTATCAAGCCGAAATTCTATTTCCCAAATTACATTCAGATAATTAAAAAAAAATGTTTGAAATTATTAGGTGGTATAGATTAATTTTTTTCCATTACCAAACATGTATATGCATAGTCTTTTATTTAAGCCCTCCAAAACTTAATAATGGATTTATTCTTGACAGGTTTCTAAAGCAACTTTCACAAGCAAGGTCAGGCTGCATTGCAGGTGCCACCTGTGAACTTTTGTCTGAAGATGTAAAAAAATCACTTCCCCAAAGAGCATCTACATGAAACCAGGGCAGAGGAAAAGAAGTTTACTATGACCCCTGCAGGTTATATATTTTGCGGCAGTATTCAAAATGGAAGCAGAAGTTCTGAGAAACAAGTCCCCACCTCGCAATTAGGGAATGTTCAGAGAGAGCAAAAAGTGTCTCTAATCTTAAATCCTAGTAAATTTGCTAAAGGTACTGCAGGATGTGGCTGCTCGTAAGAGTTGGAGAGCACACTCAATAAATCTGAGAGTCTGTTCTGGGCTCACGTTAGCTGAGCAAGTTTCTCCGTCTGGAGTAAGGCAGGGTCCACACAAGGGCTGGCCTTACAAAACCTCTTCTGTGCAGAAAGTCTGAACCTACTTTGTTGTAGGTGCAACCATTGATCAAAACTAAAGTGTATAAATCAAAGCTGTAAAAGCTTTGTGCTTTATTCCACATGTGAATTTTCTTATTGTGAAGTAAAAGCACTTCATCCAACTCTTTTGGAAGATGGAGCTCTGGGTCTTTAAACACTAGGCTGCAAGGCTGCAATGGCAGAACAAAGCACATCACCTCTTCCCACTGCAGGGCTTGTGTTTTACAAGTTGGGGCACGTTGTATCAGTCCTCGAAACCGCTAAAATAAATTGGATGAGGCTTTGAGTGACCTGGTCTAGTGGGAAGTATCCCTGCCCATGGCAGGGGGGTAGAACTCAATGATCTTTAAGGTCCTTTCCAACCCAAACCATTCTGTGAGTCTCTGATATGTATATACGTATTGCAAACATGTTTGTGCGTGCACCTATTGGCAACCCATGCTCAGCCTCACGACTGGCTGGACCTGGAAGCAGGCAGCTGAAGCCTTGTCTCTATCGGGCTACCGACGCTAACCACTAGCATTTTGACTCTTAAGTATGTATCTTCTAGTAGAAAAGGTAAAGCAACTCCTAGGAAAAGGAAATGCATGGGCCAGGCTCCGGAAGCCTTTTCGCAGTATCCACCAAGGAAGAAAAAAAAATAAAAGCAAGCAAAAAAAAAAAAAAAGGATATTTCACACAAATACTTATCCTCTTCAGTTCTAACAGAATTAAGTTTTCATAATAAAAGGGGTATGGGAGGAAGAGAAGAGAAGCTATTTTGCTAGTATAGTATTATCTGCTCTTTTTTTCATGAATCTGAAGCTTCTTTTAGAATAATAACTTTGCTTTCTTTTGATGTCTTAAGTACCCCTGCCACTGCAGAGGCTGATTTTATGCTTCCACATTATGTTTGTCTTGCACATTTTTAAGAACATTGTCTGTGTGGTCATAGGCCAAACATATGTTTCACTTGGAACGTTTTTGGTATTGTGGTTAAAATATATCCCATTGCCAAAAATGAAAGATAAAAGCAATCCAGGAGAAAAATGAAAAAAAAAGAAAAGATGAATAGCTATTATTCACATACAAAAAAATTAACATTGCAGCATTTTTTGTTAGTTCATAAACTGTTTTCTTAAGTAGCTTTTCTATTTATTTTTATAAAACAACGTTTTTTTGTGCAAACAGAAGAAAGTTCTCCAAATAAATCAGATTTAACTCCTCCCCTCCAATAACATAAGGTAGTTTAAAACTAAAAATTAATAAAGCATTTTCCCATTTTTGATAGGTAAACCATCTCTTTAGGAATGTTTTAACTAACTGATGTTAAGTGATGAATTAATTTTAAAAATAAATCTACTGTACTGACACCTGTAGGCTACAGAGTTAATATTTGACGTACACTGTAATCCTTGTATCAGGAGCACACAGAACAGATAAAAATAACACATTTTTGGGGTAGACTTTGATATGTGCACAGCAAGTCTAGCTCACTGGAAAGAAGCTTGAGGAAAAAGAACTTTAAGAGAAATACCAGCCAAAACCAGCAATTTCAAGCTCCTGGTATTTACTGAGTCCTAAATGCAGCAGGAGGTGGAAGCTGCCATCTTCCACAGAGGCAAGATACCACACAACAGCTGAGTGGCAGCATCTTGCTTCCTTCAGAGGCAGACCTTCCCAGCCACCGCTGAGTTTCTGCTTCTGCTCTTAATCCGGAGAAGTGAAATACAGGCTGGTTCACCAACCTTGAGCATTTGTCAGTCCTCACTCCGACTGACAAGATAACGTAGCTAACTGAAAAAAGGACTTCCTACCTAAAAAAATTAAACTGTAAAAAAAGTATCTCAAGTAAGCCCATGTTGTCATAATCCAGAAACAACAACGTTGTTAAACATGCACAGACACACTAACAAGGCATCCAGCAAAAAAAAATTTGTAAACTTAATGGAATCCATGAGATGAGTAGTATATGTTGTACGCATATACTCACAGACACAGCTCATCTTTTTTTTTTTTTTTTTTTTTTTTTAAGTTACATCATGTTTGACTGAAATGAGATATTATGCTAAAGCATTTTAGGACCTCAAAGCATATGCAAATTGCTCTATACCAAAATTTTCTAAAAGGGAACCCTCAGGAAACACTTTCACACTTTAGGTTACCTTATACAAGATGCTCTTACAGATTTTAAATATGTATTACATTTAGAGTTTGAAAAAGGGAAATCTAAGTGCTATAATCACCGCTGATTTTAGAGGACTACTTTTTATTTCTAGTGGATTCTAACACATCCAAATAAAAGCTAATTTTAGTTTTTTATTGTAATTCTTCAGAGGTCCTTTACTTACTAAGACACAGTAATTTCTAATATTGTTTGTAGCACTGTAAACAGTTCAGTATTGTTCACGATGTGTATTTTTAAAGTTGTTTGTAAAGCAAACTGATTTTCTACATCGTGTTTTCAGTTATGACAGAATAATATAAACCAAATATAAAAATGCATAAAATAAAGGACACCTTTGCAATATAATTACCTGCATGACATCAGTAACATCAATTAAATTAGTTCCTGGAAACTGTGTGTCTTCCTCTTCATTATGTGTATCTTCTGGAGTCTTATAAAGACAGATTGAAATTGTTAGGTATTTTATATGGGGGGGAAAATGCATTAATAGAAAAACTTAATTACAAGAATGCAATTAAATCACCACTCACTGTCACTCAATGTCCTGTATCTGAAAAAATGCTTTACCCACATTCAAACCTAGTAGGAATTTCTTTGCATGGTTTAAAGAGAGATTATTAGAACTTTTTCTTGTATGCTGACAACTAAAACCTGCTGTTACCAAATGTAAGTGGAATATCTCAACATCAAAGGTTCTAGGGCAATAGCTGTAGCTCTTCTTAAAAACACAAGTAAGACAAAATAATGTCAAACATAGCACACAAGAGCCTAGAAGTCTTTTAAGCAATTTACTTATGTGCAATTTCTACAGTCTTAATAATTTTTCAATAATAATCACTATTTTAGTCCATGGACTCCTTCTTATTCAGGGAATACCTTGACCATAAAGACTCTGGAGGACCTAACTGCTTAAGTCAGAATAGCAGCTAACACACAGAGAAAACAGAAGGTACAATAACAGTACAAAAACTATCACTGCATCACTGTGCCTTCACACTGTTCTGTCTGTGCACTGGACAAGACAGAGGTCCACTGGAAGAAGCAATATGCCATCCTGTAAACATGTGCCCTATAAACTTTATCATTCAGCATAGAGCATTTAACCTTTTAGCTGCACAAAAACCATCATTACTGCTTAGATCAGATTAACAACACTTCTGAAAAATTATATGGAAAGAGAATAGACTGGCCGGCTCCACATACAACAGGCTACCAGTGAACAGGCCACGCGTACATGTCACTAACCACTCCAGTTCAGCCAAGGAGCAGACAGAGAAATGAAGAACATCCTCAGTTTTCATGCCAGAACAATGAAGCCAGTATAAATAAGACAGACATGGGGCCAATAAGGGATTACAACTCTCAACAGGACAAAGAAACACTGTTTTTCTTGGGGTTTTGTTATGGTGATTATTTCATCTTGGAAGAACAGCATCTTCCTGCAATTTTTAATTTTCTTAAAAAAGTACCTAACATTATAAATTCTCCAGCATAATTACTCCATTTTTCCTGGAACTAATTTCTCTAAGATAAGATAACAAAATAACTTTGCAGTAAATTAACATATTGTCTTTTTTAACAAATTTGAATTCACAGACATTTAGATCAATCCATACCTGTATTACAGCATTGACGGGAGGAAGTGCAGGTTCGGAGCCTGGAAGAACATCGTTTACACTCACACTGTCACTCGAAATACTGTCAATATCTACATTTGGCAACACCTAGGACAGAAAAAAAGCACCAATCTGAAAATCTATGTATTAGCTCAACTACTATCACTGAACTTTTTAGATTCTCTCTTCCACTTTCTGTTGAGCCACTAAACTTCACTGATCTCCTTTTCTCATACCTCTATCTGAAAATAACTTGATTCTGAAAAACAAAATACTGTAATGTACAAAAACTAACCCCAGAAACATTCACATCTTTACCTGCACTACCTGATTTCTCCTGTTCTCCAGTTCCCTGATATTTTATCTTGCATGTGACAGAAGGTGAATTTACCCATAACTATTTATATGCAGGTGTACGTTTGACTTGCAATTCATTCACACTATGTTGGCCGACAAGCCACTGCGCAGGCTGGCTATTGGCTTCATGTTGTCATACCTCTGGTAGGGTAAAATAAAGGGATAATTGTATTACAGGATAGTTTGTAATAAAGGCGTGGCCATTACAGCATCAAAACACTTTGGGTTTTGTTTTGTTTTTTTTATCTAAGAACAAAGATTTAAATGCTTGCTTAATTCTTTAGGGGGAAAAATAATTTTAAAAATCACCTTAAGCATTTAACAGCTGGGTGAAATAACAGCAAAAAGCATGTGGGTGGAAAACAGTGATAACAGCAAGGGAACAAGCCGCATACTCTCCCTCTATTTAACTTTGAGTTCCATGAATCATTTGTATCTGAAAGGTGTGTGTAGGAGTGTGTATATTCTCAACAACTTGAATCCAAAATAATGAACATGTAAGAAACATTAGCTTCCTTGACAACAGACCCATGTAAAAATTTTTTTCAAAAAAAAAAACCCCACCCCACTAGGTAAGGACTGCAATGGTTGATTAATCAGGTGTGAAATTCTTGGGCTGACTATCATGCTTGTAATAGAAATCTTAAAGACTAAACCATTCATCCAAGTAAACTGACATTTATTTTAATACTTTTTTATTCAAAGTTTGTTCTGGCTCAAAAATCTCATTTAAAAAAAAAGAAAATGTGACATAAAACTATTTTACAAACACCCTGCACAGATGACTTCGAGAAGAAATAGCTCTCTATTTTGGTTAAATAATAAAGATAATTCTTAAAATGCAAATAGAAATATTAGCATAACATGACAACTGGTTCTTCCATTCATTATGTGCCTAATGCTTACTGAAAACCATCTACTGATGTCAAAGTAAGTTACTGATGGATGAGACTGTCTTTAATTAGCATTTATTAAAATAAAAAAACAATTAATCATCAGTCTTGACATGCACCTGCACAGACAGCTGAGGTGGATCCTTTTTCTCCGATCTCATCTCTATTACAGCGACGTTTGGTTTTTTTATCTCATCCGGTAGTTTTGGTGGCACTTGAGGAACAGAGGTTGTAACTGTAACAGGGTGTGGTTTACCTATAACTACTCCAGCAGGCTGCTGCGAGATGTCGACAATTCGGGTCTGACCTAAGGACAGTTAAAAAATAATTAACAATATCTACAAATGTCTATATTCAGTAAATTATAAATTAATTAAAATTAAATTCTAGGTGTCTGTGTTTTACATGAGACAGGTTGCATAATTACAGACCAATTAAAAAGTCCCCTATTAACACTAGCTAAAGTATAGTGCTTCACCAGGGAATTTTAAGGCTTTCCCAACAGAAACTGTAAACTCAACACTGCCATTTCTTCAAATTATTCACTTTTCTTGACTACGGTGACATCTACTGCTGAAACCGAAAATAACTACACTGTGTTTGCCGTTCAATGCACCATGCTTCCTCCACCTCACATTTTCTTAACCATATTCAAAATGCTATTACACGTAGTACAGCACCCCACAAATTTTTGTTTGAGACATTCTTTTATTTTAATAATTATCTTCTTTAAATTACAATGGGATATTAAGCCTTCCTGAAACAAGGACTATAAAAGGTTCTACTGAAGGTCCAAAAATACAGAAGCTGTGACAAGGAGTTTAGCGTGTTTGTGCTGAAATCCTTGGGCTGAAGTCATCATAAATGTGGAATCCAAGGGCCAGTGATTCAGTTCCTGCTTACATGGATACCAAACTTAAAGCCAGAACAAGAACCTTAGAAATGTAAAGTGAACCAAAGAAGGAATATACAGCTAAGCAAATAATTGCTCTGTCAGAGTGTTGCCAGACATCCAGCATGAAGAACGAGGAGAATCAGAATACTTTATACTGTTCCCCCATGTAGACTTCCCATGAGAAGGGCACCCGCAGATCTCATGGGCCAGGGCAAATCACTGACTTAAGATATAAGTTTTATTTCCATGAAGTAGCAGTAATTAACCTTCACACATGCCTTCTACAAGTTATTTGCTCCTACCTAGCGGAATAGCCATAGGAACTAGGTGACCTTCAAGCGGCCCAGAGACGGCAGCTACATCTCCACTTGGACTAAAGAGATACTGATTTTCTTGGGTGAGTGCATATAAAGGATGCTGTTTCTTAGGGCTGATTACCACCTTCTGTGGGTGAGAAGTTTGTGTTCTTGCTGACTTTACCTTTGTACCTGAAACAAGAACAGATAAACCACGCCATCAATGCATGTACAAACAGAATCATAGCACACGCTATTTAAGCCCTTCAGCTGAAACAATTATAAATTTTTGCTGTGGGATGGAGGGAGCAAGGGAGGGAGACAGGAAGGGTGGAATCTAAAAGTGCTAAGTTAGATGTCTCAGTATTGACAGCAATGAAGGAACTAAAATCTCAATTTTCGAACATATGACTCTAGCAAATAAAGAGACAGAAATGTGAAGAAAAGGACACAAGGATGGTAGTAGGTTAGACTGAAACACGTGATTTAGCAGGTAAGAAGAAATCCATGATTCAGGTTTCAAATACAGCATTAGAATAGCATGCAAGCCTGGCATAAAAAATAGACAGGATACCGAATATAGCCAAACTGAACTCCCGTTCGTCTGATTAACTGCCTCAATTTTATAAACATGCAGTTTGTCTCCAGCCACAAGACTGACAGGTCCTCAAAGAAGAGGTACAATCTGCAGTTTCCTGGTTTAACAACTTGCTGCTAACAGAAAATAAAGCCATAACTAATACCCATGAGTCCTGACTTACACCATTGAGGAAGCACTGACTTTTTGTTCCAGCTGTGAAATTGTACCATTAAATAGCCACAAGAAGTAATTTGTATGTAACAATGCCTAAGCACACGGCAGAGGAGAACATTTATTGCAATGTTGCATTTCTCACTCTACAGCCATGCAAGGTCTTATTAAACCTATATTCTCTGCAAACAGTGGGTATTACTGGAGAAATCATTAACTTTAATCTAAGTGGATAAACACATTCCCAAAAAAGGCATCCACAATCGTGAATCTAACAGAAGTGCTTCTACTGCTATTTTGTAGGTGTTAGGAAAATGAATCTGGAAAGAATCACATTGGTGACCAACTCTGTATCTTCACTACAGCTGAAAAATATCATCTTACTCCTCTGTTGTTTCTAATCATCACCCTTCCTGTATTCATGGTCAGTTAACACATGGCAACAACGACTTTTTAGCTCTGTTCACATTTAATACCTTCCTAATTAATTGAAAAATGAAAGTTAATGATTATAAAATTTAGAGATAATAAAGATTGATAATGTGACTTTTAACAAATGCAGACAAGCAAGTAAGGCAATTCACTCAAGAAGTGTTATTTTTGTACATACAAATTATGGTTCAGAAGCCTAGAAGCAAGAATGGCAAGTCATAACTCTTCAGTGAGAAAACACAGGTCAGAAAGAAGTGTCTCTGAAAAAGGCTTGAAGGTCATGTTGCATAAGCAATGCAATGAGAAATCATAATACAATGCTGTGGTCAAAGAGATAAATGTAATCCTCAGATGTCTCAACAGGATGTCGGTGAGGTGGAGCAGGAGAAGACTTCCATATATGATAACACTGCTTTCAGCACTAATTCTGTATCTCTCTACATATTAAAACAGATTGGATATTAAAAGGCCTTTTTTATTTTTTAAGGAAATCCACCCGGAAACAGAAGTAGCCGTAAACTGAAGCCAAAAACTCACTATAAATCAGATACAAAATTTGAAGTGTACTTTTGAAGCATAAGATGCCTAGCCACGAGAAGAAGTAACGATGGGCAGACTTTCTGATGTCTTTAAAAAATGAGCATGTGCCTTTCTGCAAAGCATAGGTTAGCCAGAAAAATTGTTCTTTAGTCAAAGACAAATTACTGGACTCAGGAACATAAATAGATACAGTTCAGTGGCTTGTGATTTAGAAGAGGTCATACCACATGATCTAACAGTCCCCCCTGGCCTTGAACTTTTGAGTAAAAGCCGAAATTGGCAACATATCTGTGATTCCACCAACTTGTAAAAACAAGGTTCTCAGAGCAAGAATGATGAAGTACTGTACACACACAGCACCTCATTTTAATTGCTTTCAACTTTACATTTCCCCCTGAAACGTTGATTTGCACTGGGCAGAAACTGGGCCTTTAATTAAACTTAGCTTTAAAAAACTAGTGTTTTACATACATTTATCAGTTCAAACTATGCAAGAAAACAACTACAACTTTTTTTTTTAGAAAAGCTCTCTTACTCATAAAAGTGTTAGCTGGACTTTTTTCCTAACTTCCCATAAGAAACCAAGCATTAGTCACTACAGTTTATTTGCAAAGAAAACGGTTGAGAGAGTTATAAAATTACTGAAAAGAGACTCTCCAGATGGCCATTTCAGTCTTAAATAAACATCCTTATTCTAACACTAATTTAAAACAAGCTCAGTGGACTGCTCAGAGTCATTTAATAAGTCTGGATTTTCCAGCCAATCAAACCCAAGGCCAACAACTTCAATTATTTTTAAGCCTTTATCACCTGGTACATCAAGGCCAGGAAGGGAACCTGTGGGTGCAGATCCATGAAGGAAAGAACTAACCATGCCTAATGGGGCAAGATTTCTTTCCTTCTTTTTTTTTTTAAGAACCTGGTGCTTTTAAAGTGCTCATTCAACTTTGTTTCATTTTATTTACACTCCTACTATAGAGGAGTACAGATCTGTTTCTAATTTTATTATACTTTCCTGCCATAACAGCATCTTGCAGAATAGCAGCCCTCAAAAACATTTAACTATTTTGTCATCATGAGACCCACATGAAACACAGAAGTATTACTTTTCCATTTTTTGGCAAGATGTAAGAAAGCACAACAATTAAGCAGCCTGACCAACTGTCTTACATGAAGAGTCAAAGACAAGTTAATGCCAGTATCAAACAAAGGCTGACCTCAGTCTAAAGCCATTAAAATCAGAAAACTTGGAAATAGGACACATATTCTGTGGAGTGTTATTAAGTGACATGCAAAAATTTCCGTATTCTTCGCTGAGAGAAGAATACAAGGCAGTGTCTTTATTTTATTTACTGTCAAGATACAGACAAAACCACAACTTTCTGTAACTGCAGTCTGACGTGAAATAGAGAAACTAATTTTATGGTGGCTTTATTACTGCAAACACGTATGTTGCTGCGCTGCTGCAGTATGACTTAATGACTTGGAAGAGAATCACTGTGGGTAAAGGCTATCCAGAGTTCATCCTGTTTTCAAGCAAATAGCTTTTAAACTGTATTTGTCACATGCAGGAGTTCTGGAAGATTGAATACAGCATGGATCCAGTACACAGTTTTTTCTTTCATTTCTATTTGCCTTCACCAGAAAACAAGATAAAGCACAGAAGCAGTTTATTACAACTGCATGCAACCTGCACCTTTACATTTCACTGACACTACTGAATTAAACACGTTACCGGTAAAAAACTAGTAGTATCAAATGATCTACTTATTATAATTAGATTGGGGTGGGGGCACTTTTTTGCCTCTTTACAAGGTATTGTTTCTGGAATGATGAAATTGGCCTCCCTGGAAAGGTTGTGACCTTCTATAAAGGACAAGAGCCCAATAAATAGAGAAGAAAAATGTCATTTAGGACTCAGCAAAAGCAGAACTGCTGATTAAATATTTTTAAAGACGTGTCTGTTCTCAATCCAAATCTTAGAGGTCACTGTATCTTGTTATTGCTACATTAAGTGCTTACTACCACAAATTTTATTCAAAAAAATCTGTACAGAATAAACTAAATTACAGGTGTGCAGCACTGCCAGTAAAGCAGTGAAAGAAAAGATATGAGAATGGTGTATCATGCTGCTCCTTCAAATCAGTATACTGGCATTTTTCACAAAAAAAGAAGCATTTCAAGACAAGAAAGGTAAAATAAAATATATAAGCAACAAGACTACTATCACCAAGTTCTCACCTTTTAAAAATAAAGTAAGTTTTGAAAAATCTTCTAGATTTTTGCCAGGACTATAACCCCCATTTTCCAGGAGGGTTACGAGAATACTTTCTACCAACAACACTCTCCTTCATGGATTACAACTGGGCTCCACAGCACAGGTAAGAATACTTCCAGAAAATGGCATAAAGACTACACTAAGCTTAACAACAGATTCTTGTACTGTTTTGAAGATTTGCCACTGTGGATGTACATTACAATGTCAAAAAAACCCCAAATCACAGCAGTGCTTGTTTTCAAAGACATATGTATGTCTCATACAATACATTTTAATAGCCTAAAAGCATGGTCTCATCAAGAGACTGCCTTCTCATGTTAATTGCTTGCATTTCATACCGAATAGTATATTTTGACAGTTATAATAAAAACTCAGAAAGCCTTTTTTCAACATGACAGTTAAGACTGCATCAAGTATATTTTCCCTGCATGGGTAACAACAGCATTAGAGCAAGAAGCACAGAGGTGAGCCAACTAATATTTTCCCATTGATGCTCATCCTGTTAACTCAATTGTGCCCACTATCACTTTCACTGCCTCTTACATTTAATCTCTGTAATTATCATTTATCATATAATTTGCTCACTCTCTCCCACAGCGAGCAGAAAAAGAAGGCCCTGCTGCTGGGGTTTTTTCATCTGCACTCCACTGCAGCTTTCTCCTCTTAGATCTTCCAATCCTCATCACATTTTGTTGGTTTCTTGCAATGTTCTTCACTTCCTTACAGTGTGTAAAACAACTTCTAATAAAAGCAATGGGAATCTTGACTATACTCTTCCCTGCACAGACACAGCGAAGGATGAGCTGTTCCCTCATAGCTTCAATCGTAATGAAAACAGCCAAATGCAACCGCTTTGGAAATTTCTTTGACTAAACTTCATCCTTCATGACAAGCATTTCTAGTTATTAACAGTATCAGTAGTAATGACATCTACATCTCCCTGCAATGCTACACATTAGGTTTTTTGGCAGATCAATTAAAGATTAATCTTAGCTTCTATATTAAGAAACATTAAGTTAGAAAAGATAACTAGGAAATAAAACAGATCCAATTAAAACAGACAAATCTAAAATACACTATTTCAAACTGCTAATGAGCTGTGAAAGTCAACAAATATTACAAAAAAAAAATTCCCAGACCGTAACTGTCAGCAAAAGGCCATCGAAATAGAGGAAAATAGGAACTTACGTTCTTTTGCGAACCCACTTCAAATACAATCCTACAGTTTCCATTCCTCCAGCAGAAACGCCAAGGCAAACACTGAACTGGTCTAGTCTTAAAAACACTCATTTTTAAAACAGAAATAAGACAACAACTGTGCCTTTGAACAGCACTTGTTTCCCCATACAAGTTCCACAAAGACGGATATCAGTGTACATTTTAATCCTGACTGAAAACGGCTTTCCATAGCTTTCAGAAACATCACAGCAGTGCCACATACACGCACGTTGCTTAGTTCACATAAAGACATTGGTTGGTACTTTTCTTTTTTCTTCCTTTTTTTTAATCCTCTTTAAGACAGTACTTTGAAAGAATTACCACCACTGACAGGATGGACTGATTTAAAACTAGTGTTACAAATTCAATTTGCTTCAGAACAGAGGAAATAATCCATTTTGATCAAGACTTGTCTTTGTACCTTATAATTATTTCCTTAGAGAAGGTCACATTCATTAATATGATGATTTTCAATGAACAGAAGAATTTCACTAGAGCAAACATTACTTTCTGCTAACTTGGGTAAGTGTAGATAAACTTTATCTTATGTCAGATATCGTTTAGTTTCACTTTTAAGTCATTATTTTTACATATTTTTAATAGGTTTTAAAATTCGAATCTTCTAACACTTTGCCTACAAAACTAAGGAATGGAATTCATTATTAATCAACTAATAACCTTTATCAGTTAATTAAATAACTGTAACAAGTTAGCAAAAAAACCTTCTGTTCCACATTTAACCCTGACCCGACTAACAAATGGTTACATGCATTTAGTGAACTAAACCAATGCTTCCAATTAACGTCTTTCAATATTTTCAAGTTAATAGACGTCATCTTCACTCCTATCAATTTAATTCTTTTATATTACAATTTATGTATTAGAGGTGAGAAAAGAAATATCAGGATTCCTTATTTTTTCAAATCTCAGTAGGTTTATGTATTCATTTAAATGACATGACTGGATAAACCTGACAAGAAGAACACATCTCAGTAACATTTATCAAAAGCTGAGTTAGTTTTTCAACACACTAAGCTTACAGGTGCTTATGTCATTACTTCCAGCAATTCAGCTCTTTAAGAACTGGGCATCAATAAACATATACTAATACATTTATTAAATTTAGAAATAAGTATGAATTTGACAATTTAAATAAGTGAGATACATACTAAGCAAACCTGAAAACCTACCGTTATTTTTCAGTTTTGAAAAGAGCAACTTTTAACCCTACTGCAGTTGCTTAAGCTTGAAATTGAAAAGCAGGTGATCTCCGATTAAATAGTTTCACTTATACAAGGAATTTCTAAGAGAAAAACTGGGAAGGAATACCTTCATGTCAAAGAATTACTTACCTCTAACACACTCTATCACCTTGGGTCTTTGAAGTTTAGATTTGGGAGATGGAGAGTTGAATCTCAGATACGGTGCTTTTTTAAGTGTGCTACGATGGCCCTGGTAAATTGGTTTCCCATAAACTTGGCACAGATAGTCTTCGTTGTGTACCACTGCACTTGCACTCACAGGTCCCTGACACACACACACAACACAAAAAAACAGTTTACAATTCTTCATGTATGACAATTTGAACACATCAATGCAAAAGTCTAGAGGAAAAAAAAAAAAAGGAGTTCTGCAACAAACAGCATACATTGCAAGGACATATGAAAAATTACACATACAGAATACATAAAGCAGCTTACTAGCAGCTGAATAAAACAGCAAGTACTGGGCAAGACAAATTCATAACACGACAATGAATTCTGCATTGTTATATGCACTTAGCTTAGGCTTCTACAGTACATGAAAATAAGAACAATTCTGGCAACAGATATCCAGAGGACAGGGCTATCTCTCTCATTTAAAATTAACAGTTACACATACAATTTTTCACACGAATACTGCAATCATCTAAAGCATAGCAGTCATTACCAAAAAGAAACTATCTACTTGGGAACTCACATCTGCTCTTTTTTCTTTCCTCTGCAAACTTTCAGAAGAAAAGTAAGTTCTAAACCTCTGTTGGCTTGTGTTATTTTCTGCTTGCTTCTGCAATGGCTTAGCTGCAGATAAAGGCTTCTTTGGCAAGTATCCTTGGATTTTTTGACTTTTTGCTTTAATTTCTTTGTTGGTCTTCATAGCCTTGATGTTTTGGGCTCTCTTGATCCATGGGACCTTTTGATCATATTTCACTTGTTCTGAATCGTTTCTTGCCATTTCAGCCTAAAGAGAAAACATGAATGTAATAAAAGGAGATATTCTCTTCAAGGCTATCAGGAGAGTCTGTGGATAACTGAAGTTCTGAGAAATGGCCTGTTTCTTCTCTTAGCCAGCAACTGTGGCCAGTGATTTTTAATTAAGCAATGGGAGATTTAAAATAGAAGTAAATATTGTATTATAGCATACTACATGTTAGTAATAACAAGCAGTTTTCTCATGTTTTCAAGCTGTGAGTGAATCATGTTTAACTATTGACCAGAAAAGAACAATGTAAGGTGGAAAAATATAATGCAAAAACCTAAACTCCTTTTTCTCCAGCCATACCTGGATTTCTGCACTGATTGCCTTAATCCACTCATCCACAGTCTTTCTGATACGAATCTGTTCCAATACATCTCTGAAATAGAAGAATGAACTATTTTAGGTCAGTGCTTCTTAAATAACACAGATTTGTTCCTGGGAAAGTAGTGACCTATAAATACTATAAAAAGAGAAACCCAGAACACAGAGACAGTAAGATTATGTACCTCTACAGTCTCCAAAAGGCACCAAGCATCCCCTATCCAAGTTTCCCAAATCTAAATCTGTTCTTACACAATGCCACCTGCAAACCCCACTCCACACACACACCCCCTCCGCCCCACTGGTATGTACTAACATTATTACAAACATCTACAAATAAGTGACAGCCATGTGTCAGTTTCTACTTTGATCAAAAACTGAAAAAACAAGGCAACAAAAATATTCCAACTCAAAAGACAAAAAGCAGATGACAAAAATTACTACTTCCTCTAAAAGATGAGAGGAGAAAAAAAATCTTTACATGAGAAAATAGTCACCTTCCAAGATGAAGTTGTATTTTAATAGGAAAACTTTCACTGTGATTCAAGCAAGAGTATTTAACACAGTTAACGAAGCAAACGTTCAAAAACCAAAGATTTGCTGTAGGATGACTAATTCTGTGACATTTACAGGCTTATGAGGCCTCTTCTGATGATGAAATTACTCTTTAATTTTCTTATTAATGCAAGTTTGTCTGCAAAAAGCTAAACGCCCCTTTGTCATGACAGCAGAGCAGTTTGTCCAGATGATACAGTCTCAGAACTCAGATCTACCAAGAACTAACAGGTACCTGCCAAAAAATTCAATTCACACCAGGAGGGTCAAAAAATATTTGAAATTCAAGAGAATTATCTAATGACTTTTAAGAACAGTCAATAAATACTTTTTTCAGGGAACTGCACTAATTCTTCAATGCACAGAATTAAAAAAAATTGAGAGAGAGGTGATAAAAGATGAGCACATACAATAAGTAGTCACACAAAGTGCTGATGAATAGGGTCTAACCTGTTCGTGGTCAAGGTGTTAATAAAAGAATACATGGCATCCCCATCTTTTGCGTGAATAACAGCTTCTAAATTTTCTTCGAGAACTTTTTTATTGTTCTGAACTCCTCTCAAAATCCTTTCAGCATCCCTCAGTATAGATTTTGGCACTTTAACATTTTGAAGGATGGATGGTTTATTGAGCTGATGATGTGTTTGAAGATCAGATGCAACTGTAGTGTTTTTTGACTAAAATTAAAACAGAATTGCTAGCTTTTAATTAGAGACTGTAATTTCAATTTTCTACACACTAGTCAGAATTCCTACTATCAAATCAAGGCTCAGTATATGAAATACCATCCACGTGTACCACCATCAACTTCAATTACTCAAGAACATTCAGTATGTTGCAAATATATTTAAAAGTCAAGCACACGGAAACACATCCAAAAGATCTCAAATGCTACATGATGTAATGTATGAGAAGCAATGCAAATGAAGCAAATAAGCATGTGAAAAAAATGGCAGCTAGATACATGAAGCAAGTATCACATGTAAATCTCTCCATGTAACAGTATTTAAGTATAATTAAATGCATAATAAAAACCAAAGTCCTATAAATATATGCACTCATTTGGCATCCATCCGTCCCAAGAAACACGGAGCAATATACTTAAAGTTTTAACAAAGATAAAATAAACTCAACAACACTATGATCCTCTCCCCCTTCTAATGATTTTTACTTTTCCTAAGAAACAACAAAGCAACTATTAGCCTTTTACTTTGCAGAACAGTTTTTCAGAGATAAAAATCGAGCGCATATTAGTGGCTAAATACAAAAAGAAGGGACACAAATACATAGGAAACAAGGAGCCATACAACTGTAGTTCTCACACTCATGCCCACACTGCTGATGAAACCCAGAGGGCTCCAAGTAGAGCGCCTCATTTTCCAGAAAGGAAGCAAAAACATTTTCAAAAGTTATAAATATCCATAAAGAAAAATAAACCCTAAAACAAAAACAAAATACCCAAACTTGAGTAGACTCTGAAAGCATCAACTGAACGAACAGAAAAAAACCTCACAGATGACACCTCAGTTTTGGCCTTAAGGTTACTCTTTTATTGGTTCAGAATTGAAGAACAGTTTATGTTCCATCAGGTTACTGCCAAAGCACAATGGACATAACAAAATATAAATCAATATACTGATCCCATGATTTTGGTTTTGCCTCGTGAGAAAAGGACAATAAACCAAATTATTTACAGAATATTGTTTTATATAGGTTTTCATTTTAAAGTTAAACTTTTTTAACAAATAGTAGCTCAATAAGACAGGTGAAATTTATGAGAAAATGTAAGAAATCGAGATATATGTTCAACCGTAAAATGATGCAGACTTGCCAGTTAGACCCAGATCAGGAAATGCCAATTATATTAGCAGTCCACACTATGTTCATCTGAGATGGCAACTTTCTGCCTGTCAATATTCCCTCAAGGTAGCTCACAAAGAACAAGGTAAATCTTACTTTGAGTAATGTAATCTGTACGTAATATCAGCCTTTTCGAATAAATACAGGTATGCAATAGTTACTGTAGTGCAACCTCATTGCAAGCATATTAAGAAAAGAGTTTCAGTATTACAGCATTCTAAAAAAACCCCAAACAAATATTCAAGGTATACCTTAATAAGGTCGTTCATGCCTGATTTCCATGAATTCGCTTCCTAGAAAGACAGAAGAGCTGTTGAAATTTATGTAAAGACAGATCTGTCAAGATTAGATCTAGAGTAGATATATGATCAGTTTAAATGTGCACAATGAATTCCTTATGAACTACTAAATCTCACTGCACACTTCCTCTGGATTAGAGCACCACCTCCTGTTGCATGCCAGGCAATTCTCTGGAAACAGCACTCTTTACAAAAAGAGGTGGCAAAAACAGAAAGGAAGTAGCTTAAGTCATCCCTGAAGTTGACTGCAGATAAATAGAACACTGTTCTTTCCCAAATAGGAACGTTACATCAGCTCGACAGCTCTAGTCAGCAAGACAGCCACCAGAAAACAGGCACTGAAAATATCTGAAACCTTAAAACAAATAAACAAACCACTTTTTTTTTTTTTTTTAAATCTATTTTATGTTCGGTAGAATGGCAGTAACAGCCTCTACAGTCTAGTCCAATGCATACTCATTGAGACATTACTCAGGCTCAAAGTGCTTCCACATACAAGACTACCGTATTTCAAAGTAATTGTAAACAAATGTCAGTCTTTTTTATAGCGATAGAAGCAAGGGCAACACTTTCACTGACACCAGACCTTTAAGTTTTTCCCCACATTTTTTATTTCCCTTATTCAAACTCTTGGTCATTCTGATAACACGGACTTTACCTGCAGCATGTCACGCATCTCCCTTCTCAGCTGGGCAAGATCTTGAAGTAAATCATCTGCTTTTTTCACCGTTTTCTCAATTGAACTGTGATTTTGGAAGGAGCTTTCAAAAGCGGGGAATGAGTCCGTACGCAAAGCAGTATGCCTGATGGGAGAAACACTCGATTAAAATAGTCTCATGGCACCTTACGTGGCACAAGAAAGTAGCCAACTGTGAAGCTAAGCATGGATTTTAAGTTCAAGAATATCAAACCTTTATATAAAAGGGACTTTGCTCTTTCACCTGAGGTTACAAACAGGTTTGGGGTTTTCTCTGTTTGCCATTTGACACCTTGAGCTGTATCTTTGTACTTTCAACAGTGAAACTTCATCTAAAATTCAGATCTAACAGTCCTACATTTAAACTTTGGATACCTTTCCATTTGAAGCCATTAACATTTTTGCCCATACTATCACAAATAAGACAGTGCATATGTAGCTGTTTCTCATTATCTTAGTGAAATTATGACATTAAATTATTGCCCAGAGTAAATATGTTACAGACTGGATGGCTAAGAACATTTCCTCACCCTCCCTAAAGCCTAGAAATTGTTAGGTAGATGCTGCTCCTTCCCAACAAAGTGTTCTCATACAGCTCCCATAAGCAGGCAGCTTGGAGTCACTGACAAGGGCAATTCCACTTTAACAAAATGCCTGTATAGCTGGCTTCCTGACACTGCTCTCCAAGCTGCTACAAAAGAAGGAATACACTCAGAAGACAGAAGAGCACTTCAAGTGTCACCCACTGACCTCTGAGAAAGGTGTTACGAACTATCCTTAGCAACAAGCCTTCATCTGCCCTCAGTACAACTGAAATATAAAAGTAGCACAGAAATACCAGCGCTCCAGGGCTTTACTTCAAGTACAGCTTTGTCAGACTCAAGGGCCACACCAGTGATTCTATTACACCATCAATATCTAATACGCCTTTCTCAATTTCATTAAAACAAACCAACAATCTACCTCAAATTTGGATTTTTATGTCTATTTACCTGTCTCTCTCAGAATGGCAGCTCATTTTATTACTGTTTAATGCTGCCTTCTGGGAAGGCTCTATTTGCCTTGGTGGCATTTCTTGAGAATTCAGAATATGCTCAAGAAGTCTCCCTTCACCTAAGGCAGAAAAAAGAAAGTTAAGTTTGTTCAATATACTTAATACTTTCCTTTCCAGATATTTCACCATTATGTAATACTCACCAAGGATAGTAAAAATAATTTTTAGATTTTATAAAATATAAATTTACTTCAGATAAGACAAGTCACATAAAACCACTCACACTGATCTTACTACGACAGCTTTACATTAGCAAAGTCAGAAAACAGATGAATGAAAGTGTGATGGCAATTAACTGAGTCACAGAAAAATATTCTGCCATAATATCACAGATTTGTTCTTCTTCGTCTCGTTTCATTTACTCCTGGACGCAGGGAACAATTGGAATATGTGACAGCTTTGTAAAAAGAGATAGAAGCAGCAGTCTGAGAAGGATCTGATGAAGACACAAATGGGCATTTTGTCTGTGATAGAATACGGTGGCTGGAGCTTTTAAACGTTTTTCCTCAATCTTAGATACTCAAGCAATTCTAAACACAACCAGTTAAAAAAACATGCTTTATTTTTTGATCAAATCTTCAAAATTGAGCTTCATGCCACTAAACTGATCGAAAGCAATAAAAGAAAATTAGTTCCTTTGCTTTACACATGCTAGTTTCATTACAATGGCCTAGACATCCTATGAATGCATCTTTTTGTGAAAAAAAAATCCAGTTCAACTAATGATGACGAGTAAGTTATTGAGTAGATTCCAAGTTTTTCATTACTCTATATAATCTTCCTTAAAACTGACAATGAATTGTCACTCAATTTTTCATCTGAGAAAACATTTCAGTGAGCAATCATCAAGATGCTATAGGTTAGATCAGTACCGTCATTAAGTTTTTAATTAGTTAAGAGTAGGTGACTTATTCACAAAAGCAACCCTTCCCAAACGTACTTTTAAATATTCTGAGTACGTGTTTTTAAGCACCAGCAACCCAACAGCTCAGGACAGGTGAGGACCACACAAAAAGTAATCCCTCCGTGCCAGTGGAGGACAGGAGTGTCTTACTCACAATACCTGCACCTGTAGATTTGGGAATATTTTCCTTTTCTGTTACAGAGTTTTCTTTCTTCGGGATCTTCATATTTTTTGATACAGGTTCTGGAGCACACCTCCGAGGAACTGGTGTCTCTAGAGGAGATTTTTGTCTATGAATCCCATGACTTTGAAATTGGCTTAAATATGCTTCAGGGAAAAAAAAAAAAAAAAGTAAAGTAATTTAAATGTTAACATTTTTCTTCACAGGAAAAGAAATCTAGAAAAAATAACATGCCAACATTATGAATTTTTCACAAAAATGCAAAACATTATAGAACTAGTTAAAAAAGTAAAACGGGAAGAAAATGTCATACTTCCAAGTGCTATTATAAAGCGATCATAAAAACCCCAACCATACTACGAACTAGTTCATTGTAAGATTCCACACAGATTATTTCTCAGTAAGGTTATTTCAGGTTAAATCTAGGCCTCTCTTGGTGCAGAATAAGCACTTAGTAAATACTCACTTGAATTTAAACTGGAACATTTTGAGAATATGTGATATATCTTACACAGTATATTAGGCAATAAAACATACAGAAGAAATGTTTACTACTTATTACAGATGAGATGTACAATATTAATGGAAACAAAATTAAACCAAAACTAATAGCGAAAATAAGATGTTAAGAATTTGTCTTCACCTTGGGCAGGTGCACCACTGGTAGGAAACAAACCCCTCGGACATGAAGATACTTCATTAGTCAGCAATCCCTGTTCTGATTGTTTTGTCATGAGACTGAAGGAAGGTATGTGAATTTGCTGTAAGCCACTCGTGTTGACTGCAGAGCTAATGAGATGAGACTAAGAGACAAAATTACAAAGTATTTCTGATATATGTATTAGTTTCCCCGAATAAAAGTCTAAGCATGAATACTTGCCATGTGATCATATTAAACAGATTCTGACACGCTATTTGAGAGAAAAGTAATTTATAACAACCACGGAATAAGAGACATGCTTAGACATTATTTTGCCTTTCAAAAAGCACACCGGACACAAAGAAACAATTTATAACTGTTCTTAGACTTTTTTAGTCTGTCTGGCTACTTATTAAATGAAAGTTTCCTCAATTAACAAAGGTCTAATTGCAGGAATGGAAACATGTCACTATTTTTTGCATTTACTTTCCACAGATACAAAAATTAGCAGGCTGGAGGGGAGCAGATATTTGGGACAGAACCAGAAAAAAAACTTTTCCCAAAAAGCTCTAAGCTCATGTGCTGACCACTGGATGCTTCTTTCCTTCAAATACTGAGATACAATCTGAATTATTATAACATTAACACTGAGATACAGAAGAAATTATTAAGCTTAAGCTTCTGCATTGTTACTTAGATACCTGAATATTCATTTGTTGCTCCTGTAACTTCTCCAAATGCTGAATCCGTTGCATCATGAAAGCATTCATTTGTTTTTCAAGCTCACTGACTCTTTCATGACAATGGGGCTTCTCATGTTGAGTCTTCATATTCGTTTGCTGCTCAGCAACACGCTGCATTTGTCTGTCTGTCACCTGTAGTTTATGAAGTAATGTTGAAACTGAGCTAACTTTTGTTTCCAAATCATTTTGAACCTGCGAGGAAAAAAAAAAAAAAAAAAGAAGGGAAAAAACCTTACTGGAAAAGAGGTGCAAGCATGAAGAGAACAAAACATCCTTCCTATTATCATGGAAAGATTTGCTTCCCAAAAGACATAAGTAAAATACTAGTTAGTCCTAGCATTTGGTGGCTTAGCAATAGTATGGAATTCTTCTAAAAGACAAATCAAATTGTGTCTAATCATTTTCCCACTTAGTCAAACCCAAATTAGTTCTCTCCGGTCTATTGGTCAGTAATCTGAGATTACTAACACACAGAAAACAGTAAAAACAGACACATTCAGTCTCTCTGGCCCCACTACCAACAATTTCAGGCTTGCTTAGAACATCTACTCTTCTAAGTGCATAAAGAACTAATATCACCACAAGCTATTACTCACTTTAAGAAGCGGAGCTGTAGTGGCAATTGCAGCAGCAGTTGCTGCTGCGATGGTTGTTGCAGAATCAACTTCCCCATGTGCTGACCTGGTGTCATGACCAACACTTTCCTTTTTTCTTGTGGAGGTATTTCCTAAGAACTGTACCTTCACCTCCTTACGTACAGGAGTATTTTGAGTTCTATAAAAACAAATAAATGCCTCTAAATTTCATTGTTTTCCCCATATCACCCCCAAGCAAATGATTTCGCACATGTAGCATTGATATCACTACTCATATAAGCATTTCTCCTTGAGGCTCTTGACACCTAAGAAAGAATTTTATTCTCATCTTTTATCATGACATGAGAAATTTCTCAGGATTACATTACACATTCTAATATAAAAGGCATTTCCCTACGATGACTGCAACTGCAACAAAGAACATATTTACAGGTTGTATTTTGCAAGGTTCAACGTACTAGTAGCAAAGTCCAACTAAAATTTCTAATCTTCAAGACTTCCAGCGTATGGATACACAGCATGTGTCCTTATCTGTCTTTAAAAATATTATATGGTTTTGGCACAAAATGAATTATCCATCAGAGAAGATTTTGCCTAACTCCTGCACCATGAAATAATGAATTCAAACAGTCTAAAGGTATTACCAAAACATGCAAAATAAACAAGATACTCCAGTGAGCTCTGAATGATAAAATAAACTGAAAACACCTCCACAGACAGAAAAATACTAACAGAGAACAATACTTTTTCCTTACCAGCTATGCATTCTGGCAGAAACTGAAAAAGTATTGTAGTATATCAGCAGAGAAACAGAACAGCTGAGACACTAACAGGAAGACATACTTACTTTTGCTTTAATACCGCTCTCAAAGCCTCTTTCTGGCCAGTAGCATATTGAGAAATAAAAACATCATCTGTGGGGAAGGACATAAAATATACTTAGTCGAGTTAACTGACACAAAATGTCTATTTTAGCAGTAGACACAAAGTGTTATTTCAACAACGTGTAATTTTGCTGTGAAGAATCTGTTCCCTGCAGAAACCACATTATCTACTGTAATAACAAATTATTTTCCTTCACTAAATAGTAGACTTAAATCATGATGAAAGTAAGAGCAAGCTTCATTTAACACAATTTTATATAGCATCAAATGTTGGTATCAATAAAATCTATTTTGGTATGCTGTGAAAATTACAATACTTTACCTTCATAAAATTTGGGGGAAAATGACATATAAAGGGTAACTTGAGCTCAGACAACCCATTCAATAAGACCCTGCAAATTCTAACTTGAAAAAAAGTTAATTAAAAACAAATAGAACTAATAGGACTATTTCCCTGCAGTCATCATAAATTACAACAAATGTTCTTAATAGCTTTACATTATGCTAAAAGGACTGCAGGCTCTGCTTCATCCACTGTTTGCTGGGCAGAGGTGACAACCCAAGCTGTGGCAGGTTCAGTGTTTCTCTACTGCTGATTACACACAGCTACTACACACATGCTGATAAGAGAACTAGCTGCTACCTCTGAACGTAAAAGAGGAAATTAAAATATTGATTTTTGGCTTTAAAGGGGGGTATTGATTTGCGTTTCTTTCCTCTACACAGCCACAGATATCCAAGAAACCTGCAGAGGAGTATTTTGTTTAAAAAGTCCTCACTTCCCCAAATCTGATTGAAACTGACAGGCAGATTCAGAAGTTACAGGAAAATGCATTCAAACAAGGTTTCCCCTCCCACAAATTCTCTATTCAGAGACATTAATAGTTTGATAGAAAAAGTAATCTCAACATTCTTGCGCACTGGTAGAAGTCCCTCTCAGTTAATCACAAGAGCTATATAAACTAGGGTAATGACAGCAAGACTGAAGTAAAATCTGCAAAATTCAAGAACGTAAATTACAATTATCGTCTTTTCATCAAATACACTTTTGAATATTTTCACTCAGAAGTTTCTATATTGAAGAAAAATACCTAGGAAAAAAATTAACGCCCCATTTTCCTCTAATTAATCAGTTTTCTTACAAAAAAAAGGGGCTGTAGCAGTACATCAGTGTGTCTTACCTTCAGGTCTTCTGCTATCCAGTGAATGATCTTGTATTGCAGCTTCTCTAGGATAATCCTTCAGAACAAGACAAGCAGAAAATAATACAGCAAAGCCTCTGGTATCAGTGGCGAAAATTTTAAAAGCAGAAGGAACTGATGAATACACAAATGTAAGCATCTCAACACACTAACACCAGGTTTTGGAACAAAACATTAAAATCTCTACTGTAGAATCATCTGGACTTTCAGTTGAGAACTCATGGGGCACCTGAAGGACAAAAATCCTAGAAACACAACTCAAATTAAAAGCAAATATTCTAAGGGCTGATTAAGTGTATTCTCCTCATTTATGGCCAAGGAAGTAGTAGTGAAACTACACGTGGTTAAGCTTATACAAATGGCTAATCTCAAACAATTCAGGAGTACCCATCCATGCAGAATTAAGCGCTCATAACCCTGACTGTGGAACTGAAGGGACAGAGATAAATTTTCCTGAAGTGGAATCCACGAATAATCCAAGCCTATGAGGAGTCATAAAGACAAGTTAGGAAGGTAAAAATCTCTCACTCAACATCATTTGATGGTGGAGTACTCCAATGTCCTTTTGAGACTTTTGTTCAGCTCACTAGATGTACTTCGAGCCTTGCAGAGACTTTGCTGCTTTTTTTTCACAGCACAGGTTAATTTTATCCTCATGCATGCTCATCACAGTGTGGATGTCCTAGAGACAAATCTCCACTGTATGTAAGACACAACAAACAAATCACAAGGAAATAAACCTCCTAATTGCAAGTATTAAAGAGATCCATATGAACCATTATCTATGATACAAAGAGAAAAATAAAATCTACAAACATTTTTAGGTTTTTCTAACAAATACTGTGCCATGTGTAACCACCTTTTCAAAGGAAGAATTATGCTAAAAATTTAAAAACATACCTCGGTATTTACTATGCAACAGGTAAACAAAGCCCCTCCAAACACTTCAGCATTCACATCCCATTAACAGCAACTCAAAGAGGAAAGCAGCTGCCCAGTTATTGTGGAGAAGCTGAGCCAAAGATTTGCCATGCTTTTACAGAAGCTACAAGTTTTTGAGAAAAATGGAGTTCCCTTAGTCTGGGATTGCAAGAAGCAGCAGTAACTTTTCTTACCATTTGTGATAAAAACATGGGCTCTGTAGAACTTTCTACTGAAAGCAGATGTTCTGGATGTCCATTACTACTCAGGACTCCTAAAATAAAAGCAGTTTTACTGTGGTTATAATGATTTCTTTATGTATGTTCAGTATACCTTGACTAACCCAAAGCTCAGTCTTTCCTCTACCTGTATCTTTGAATATCTGAATATAACGACTTTTGTAACACAAACGAACACAGCCGTCACACTGAAGTTTACAAACAGTAACGAATTCTGTGAGCCTGGATTATGGACTTGTTTTACAATATATGAAAAGTCTCTGAAAAACAGAGCATCTAAAAAAAAAACATCGACAATGTCTAGCTCAAATTCAAAGCTAAAGATCATAGGAATATCAAAAGTTACTTGTCTAGAGAGACAACTAGACAACATATTTTGCAGAAGGAGGACACTGACGCCAGTACACATTTTAGTTATGTCAGCGACTAGTCTGTCTTCCTAACACTATAAAAAAATAACTTTTTTTAAGCTGTTTGAACCTTGACTCCAAAAAGACTAAAATCCCCTCCTCAAACTCCAAAGACTGTAATTGATACACATTGTAAAGAAACAAAAGGAATATTCTACTTCACAGAATCACAGAATGTTA